TAAATTTTCAAAATGCACGACGTGTTTCTTAGCCAGAAGCACTAGGAAAATTATGAGTTCAATCAAAGTGAAATATAAATTTGAGTCATTAACCTTTAACTATTGTCGGGCAAACAATCATGTACTATAATTATCTATGTTAAATAATTAAATTTATAGGATTTGTTTATACAATTAATATTTATATTCTGCGTATATCAACACATAGTATTGCTTGAAGAAGCAAAATCGACAAACTGTTATGACATTGAACAATATTATGCGAACTATGCTCACAGATTATGGCCAAGAAAGTAAAGTAAATATAACAACAACAACAACAACAAACTCGGTAGTATTCCATAAGTGGGATCTGGGGAGGGTAAGATATACGCAGTCTTATCCCTACCCCTAGAAGGGCAGAGAGACTGTTTCCGATAGACCCTCGGCTAGAGAACGACTGAAAAAGAAAATATAATTTCAACAAATAGGAATAACAGTAAGATGAAATAAGATTGAATCCAAGAATGCAGTCAAACTCTAGGTAGTTATAGCCATCTATGGATAAAAGATATCATACTTAACACTAATGCTAGCGAATTGAGTAAGACAAAGAGAAACGCCCGACTACCCACGAACCTTCTACCCTAAACTTTGACCTCCACACCCTTCTGTCTAGGGCCATGTCCTCGGCCAGCTCCAGCTGCGCCATGTCCCACCTAATAACCTCTTCCCAAGATTTCTTAGGCCTACCTCTACCCCTCTTGCTACCCACCGAGGCTAACCGCTCGCACCTTCTAACTGGGGCTTCTATACTTCTCTTAACATGTCCGAACCATCTCAACCTCGCCTTCCTCGTCTTATCCTCCAAAGGGGCCACTCCTATCACGACCCAGAATCCGCTAAAGGTCGTGATGACGCCTAACACCGCCGTCAGGCAAGCCAACAGTGATTTATCAATTTAATTACTCATTTTAGTAATTTGAAATCATGATTTTCCTTAGTTGACGAGATAAAATAGGATTTACAGAGTAAATAAAAATATTTACACAATTACAACAACGAACAACCCGTAGAAAGACCCAAAAATCCGGTATCATATATGCATGAACATTTTCTAAGGAATATAGTAATAATACAACATTTGTCCCGAATTTAGTAAGACAAAATAAAATAAATAGTACAATGGGGACTCGATGGAGCGTAGCCTGAAATGCAGCTCACCTAAAGTCTCCTCAACAGGTGTGCCTACGCGCCAAAGTGATCATCCATGAACCTGTCAGATCTTGCATATTTAGTGCAGAAGTGCAGCATGAGTACGTAAATCAAACGTGTACCCAGTAAGTATCTACCCTAACCCCGGAGAAGTAGTGACGAGGGGTCGACATCGACACTTACTAAAGGTCCGATAAAATAATATAGTAAAACATGAGCAGATATGAAGCATACGATAATGATGGGGTAAATTTGTAAGATACATAACCTTCCGATTACTCTTTTAAAGCATGAATTTCTAAACCTCATATTCTACCTTAACAACTGAGAAAAATGTCAAGTGTCATTATCATAAAATAAGAAATACAATAAAATGCCAGGCATTAGTGAAAAGATTAGCTCGTAAATATTCGTGCTACTAGCGATATAACGCACGATACTGTTGAGGTCGTTCGGCCCGATCCAGAATAATATGTACACTGCCGAGGGACGTGCAGCACGATCCATAAATGCATCTATATACTGCTGAGGCATTCGGCCCGCTCCACAAGAAAATGAAGGAAGTTATCGAATTACGAAGCACGTATTTACAATACAGCACATGAGCACAAAATGAATTTAATCTTTACCATTTCTTAAATAATTCCCTCACAACTCAAAGTGTTAAGGCTAAGCCTCGTGTACATATATTTACTTCAAAATCAATTTCAATTATAACTTCAATTAATTAAGCGAGTAGAATGAGTTCAAATAATTCAAATATAAAATGATAAGATCCTAAGTCTACCCGGACATAACATGTTGTAGCTAGGTACAGACTCATAAATGATAAGATCCTAAGTCGATCCAAAACTATTCAACAAAAGTGCAAACTCATCAAAATATACTCTAATACCCATGATTAATCATTTTATACAAATTTCCAACTCCGCTCGAAAAGTCAATAGAATAAAACCCTCGGGTCCACGCGCCCGGATTCCGATTTTTTTTGAAGATAAACCTCACCCACACACCACGAACTCAACTATATAATTTATTCCTAATTCCATGTCCAATTTCGTGGTCAAATTTTAGAAATACCAAATTTATAGGTTTTCTACCAAAATCCCAAATTTTTATTAATTTCTATATTTAAATCCATATATACACCTTGTATTTAATTCACAATATGCGTGAATTACTTACCTTGACATATGTGATAAAAATCTTCCCTTGAAGCCCTCCAAAATCGCCCCAACTAAGTGAAAACGAGAGAAAATGGGCCAAATCCCGCTTTTTAAAAGAACCTTCTGCCTAGACGACCTCTCGTATCTGCGGAAAAATAGTCGTTCCTGCGGAAACTTCCTCGCTTCTGCGGAAGACCACTGTCAGCAGACCATCGCACCTGTGGAAATTCTTCCGCTTCTGCGCAATCACAGGTGCGACACACCCTAATGCATCTGCGCAAATTCCCGCACCTGCGGCCCTGACCTCGCTTCTGCGCACACGCAGGTGCGCTACCCGCCTCCGCTTCTGTGACTTCATGCCCAGGCTGCCCAAAACGCTTCTGCGGACCTCACCTCATATCTGCGACCAAACGTCCGTAGAAGCAGTCATGCCATATGCTGCCCAGCTTCAGCATCTACTAAGTCTAAAATAAATCCGTTAACCATCTGGAATCCACACTAGGCCCTCGGGACCTTAACCAAATATACCAATACGTCCTAAAATACATTACAAACTTAGTCGAGCTTTCAAATCACACCAAACAACGCTAAAATTATGAATCGCACCCCAATTCAAGCTTAATGAACTTTAGAACTTCAAACTTCTACATTCGACACCGAAACCTATAAAATCAAGCCCGATTGACCCCATATTTTGTACACAAGTCATAATTGACATTACGGACCTATTCTAACTTTCGAAATCATAATCCGACCCCGATATCAAAAGGTCCACTCCCGGTCAAACTTCTCAACAATCGTCCAAATTTTCAACTTTCGCTAATTGACGTTGAAATGCTCTCGGGTGATCCGATATTCAACCCGAACATACGCCCAAGTCCGAAATCATCATACGAACCTATTAGAACCTTCAAATCCCGATTCCGAAGTTGTTTACTCAAAAGTCAAACCTTAGCCAATTTTCTCAACTTAAAGCTTCCGAAATTAAAATTTTATTTCCAAAGCAACTCCGAACTTCCTGAAATTCAATTCCGACCACACGTACAAGTCATAATACCTGAAATGAAGCTACTAAAAGCCTCAAACCGCTGAACGACGCGCTAGAGCTCAAAACGATCGGTTAGATCATTACAACTCACACTTTTTCCCGAATAACTTCATTCCTAATATTATCCAACCGGTATGCCCACACATCCTCCTCAACATACCCATCTCAACTAATTTAAGTTTTTGGGTATGAGAGTTCTTGACCGACCAATATTTTACTCCATACAACATAGCCAGTCTAACTACAGCCTTGTAGAACTTACCTTTAAGTCTCAACGGCACATTCTTATCATACAAGACACCGTAAGCAAGCCTCCACTTCATCCATCCTACTCCGATACGAAGCGTGGCATCTTCATCAATCTCCCTGTTACCTTGTATTATAGATCCAAGATACTTGAAACTACCTCTCTTGGGATGACTTGTGTATCAAGCCTCACCTCTATATCCCTTTCTTGGGTACTGTTGCTGAATTTGCACTCCAAGTATTCCGTCCTGGTCCTCCTCAACTTGAAACCCTTAGACTCTAGGGTCTGCCTCCAAACCTCCAGCCTCTCATTAACACTACCCCGCGTCTTGTTAATTAAAACTATGTCATCATCAAATAACATACACCATGGCACCTCACCTTGAATGTGTCTCGTCAATGCGTCAATCGCTAAGAAAAATAGGAATGGACTAAGAGTTGATCCCTGGTGCAACCCCATCATAACTGAAAAATGTTCCGAGTCTCCTCCCGCTGCCCTTACCCGAGTCTTAGCTTCATCATACATGTCCTTAATCACCATAATGTAGGCTACTGGGACCCCTTTAGCCTCCAAGCATCGCTATAGCACCTCTCTCGGGACTTTGTCATGTGCTTTCTCTAGGTCAATGAACACCATGTGGAAGTCCTTTTTCATCTCCCTATACCGTTCCACCAATCCCCTCACAATGTGAAATTTGTGAATGGCTTCCATAGTCGAATGCCCTGGCATTAAACCGAAATGGTTCCATGATTAAATCTAGGAGATAGCTACCGAAACAAGCTAAGCAAAAAATACAGGAGAATTTCTAAAACAAGAAGCATTGCAAAGGGAGCAATTGACATTATTACAATGAAATTATGATAGAAAAGCGTACGAAAGCATTTAATTAATTGGTTTGGATAATTTTTTCTCATCTTAAGGAAGTATTAGGTGTTTCATTACATGTTTGTACCTAATAAAATAAAATAAAATAATAAAAAAAAAACTCAAGTATCTAACTAAATGTTGATTGTGATATTCCTAGGTTCAGATAATATCGAATAATCTTTATCTCGACAAAAAAGTCATCCTACAATAATTTAATATTGATCATTCATAATTTATACTTTATTTATTCATGTATATACTTATTTACTTAAATTTTTATTTAAGTAATATTAATATTATTTTATAAAATTCGGTACTACGTGATTGTATACACATGTAGCGCACGCACCTTAAAAAAAGAAAAGAAAAAAAAAGTAGTAGTAAATAAATGAAAAGAGCGCCTCCCTTATGACGGTTTTGACCTATTTCTCCTCCAAAGGACCAAAAGTAAATAGTATAAAACCCAATTATTCCGCTCCTTCTTCATTCTCTTGCCTTTGCCCCGTTTCCCTCTTCTCCTCTCTTCCCCCTTTGGACTCATCCAAGTAAACCACTATCTGAACCAAATATAACTACTAACAACACTGAAAAAACAAAAATCAGGGCGCCAATTATCTTGGGCGTTTGAATCAATCTATTTGAACTGTTAAAAAAAAAAAAGAAACTCAAATTTAATTTTGTTGAATCAATATGGATACGGAAGAAGAATATGAGCAACAATACAATAATGATGATGATGAAGAGGAAATAACCCAAGAGGATGCTTGGGCTGTCATCAGTGCTTACTTTGAAGAAAAGGGGCTTGTCCGACAGCAACTGGATTCATTTGATGAGTTTATTCAGAACACTATGCAAGAAATTGTGGATGAATCTGCTGATATTGAGATCCGACCCGAATCCCAGCATAACCCCGGTCACCAATCTGACTTTGCTGAGGTCCGTTGGAACTTCGAATTAATTCTCCTTTGAAATTTGGACTTCAATTTGGCATTAGGGTTTTATTTAGGGTTTGCTTGGAGGAATAAGTACCTTGTGAACTAACTGAGCCCTAAATTGAAAAAAAAACATGAATTATGAGAGTATTGCAACTACTGCTATTTTAATGGATTATTATGAGAGTGTTGGTTCAGCTCAATCAGGCATTGGGGTTCGTAGGGGATTGATGTAACAAGTTGCAACTAGAACAGCACTTACTTTTGCAGGAAGTTTAAAGTCAGTCTTTATCAGGGTTGACCGTGGATATTAAATTTGAACTACTTGTGATTTTGTGTTAGTGAGGGCTAGTTGTAGCAAAGTGCAGTTTAACTTAATATTGAATTTGGAGCGTTTATGCTGTTGTTACTTGCATTGGGTAGTTTTATTTGAGACTGGGAGGGAGGCATGGTCACACATTGATGGTATTGGTAGGTGGGAATATCTTAATTATTGAGTTAATGTAGGGCACAGTTCCTTTGGATATGCTAGAAATCTTTACTTGGTCTCATTTATATGAGGTAATTTAGATTTGCACTAAGTTGGCACAGTGGAGGTGAATTTAATGACAACTGTTCGAGTTTCAAGTTGAGTTATGTGCTGGTTTGAGGGCAATGCAGCTCAGTGCTGTTGCATCATATTGAAATTGGGTGGTCGTTTTCTTTCCTCCATTCGGGATGTGGGGCGGGGTGGCAAGAAGTAAGGTTATACTGAAAACTTGAGGTTTAAAGGAAAATGTTTATAGCATCTTGTTCAATTTTCTGTGTGGTCAAAAATTGAAGGACAGCTAAATACTGTTAAGTTTTATGGTTATCAGTGTCCCAGGAGAAAGGACCATATTCAGGAGCTTTATGGTTATCACTGTCCCTGAATGAAGAATCATGTTCAGGAACTTTACGCATTCAAATTTTAATTGATTAATGAGAGTTAGCTGTTTTTCTGTATGACACTTGCTTGGTTTTAGAGAATCTGAGAGTAGCTATAACTTCTTGAAGTTATTCGGTTGTTGTTGGGCTTTGGGTTTTTAACATAAAATGTGTAGTTAGTGTACTTCATCAAAATAAAAAAAGAAAGTGTAGTTAGTGTTGGCATTTGGCAGGAGAAGTCATGTTAAACATTGTTTATGTTTGTGCTTTTTGCTGAAATCCATTGGAACGTTGCATAAGTAGCGAAAAGTTGACGCGCAAATTGCCCGAGATGGAATATCTGTTATGTATGTTTTAGGGGGATAAATAATCCATTTTACCCATGTTAATTCTATTCTACAAGCACTTCGTAGGGATGTTCCGAAATGCGATGTATCCTCTGTTAGTAAGCAAATAAGTATGTCCAATCATGCATAAAATTTTTCTAATCTTCTATGCCAAAGGTTTTATACAAAGTCTAAAGTTTGACCTTATTCATCATTGTTTTGTGCAGACAATATACAAAATCAACTTTGGTCAGATTTATTTGAGTAAGCCAATGATGACAGAGTCAGATGGCGAAACTGCTACCTTGTTTCCAAAGGCTGCAAGGTTGAGGAATCTGACATACTCTGCACCACTGTATGTGGATGTTACAAAGAGAGTCATCAAGAAAGGGCATGATGGTGAAGAAGTTACTGAAACTCAGGACTTCACAAAAGTCTTCATTGGAAAGGTGAATATACTGTAGCCTTGGAGCATATTTGGTAAGTATGATAAGAGGTTTGTTATAATTGTTATTGATGATCAAACTTGTTTCATCTTCACTTACAGGTTCCTATAATGCTTCGGTCAAGTTACTGCACATTATATCAAAATTCAGAGAAAGATCTAACAGAGCTTGGAGAATGTCCATTAGATCAAGGTGGGTACTTCATTATCAATGGAAGTGAAAAGGTCCTAATTGCTCAGGAGAAGATGAGCACCAATCATGTGTATGTATTTAAGAAGAGGCAACCCAACAAGTATGCGTTCGTTGCGGAAGTCAGGTCAATGGCAGAATCTCAAAACCGCCCGCCGAGTACTATGTTTGTGCGGATGCTCTCAAGAACTAGCGCGAAAGGGGTAATGTCCACTGCCTGAGACGAGCAATTTCATTCTTCTTTAATTGTTGTTTGTTTCAATTCATGAAACTTATAATTGTTCTCCATTGCTTTTTATACTGCAGGGTTCCTCGGGCCAATACATTCGGGCGACACTTCCATATATCCGGACAGAGATTCCTATCATTATCGTGTTTCGAGCTCTAGGTTTTGTGGCTGATAAGGATATATTGGAACATATTTGTTATGATTTCAATGATACTCAAATGATGGAGTTGTTGCGTCCGTCTTTGGAAGAAGCTTTTGTTATACAAAACCAACAGGTACTTTTTGGTTCTTGTGGTTTTTTTTAATTAACCTCCCAAGCTCTTTCTTTTCTTTGATGATGTTGCTAAAATAGGAAGCTTATTTGACAAAGTGCTATCTCGATTCAGTGTATTGTTGTTCGCTGCTGCTATCGTCTTTGAGTTCATTCTTTAATTATGTGATTCTGTTAGGTTGCTCTTGACTACATCGGGAAGAGAGGGGCTACAGTTGGTGTTACAAGGGAAAAGAGGATAAAGTAAGTGTATTGAAGTTGCCTAAACATATTGTTCCTGTGACCTTTTGAAGCATGTGAATAAATGCTCTCAAATCAATGTTTTGCAGGTATGCCAAAGAGATTCTTCAGAAAGAAATGCTTCCTCATGTTGGGATTGGAGAGTATTGTGAAACAAAGAAAGCTTATTATTTTGGGTAGGGCATCCTCTTTTTGTTTTGAAGAAATGATGCGTTAGTTCCTTTTAACCCCCCNATATCAATAAATAATAACAGAGACTGAGATATGATATGTAATGACATGAATATGAATGAGTATAAATTTTTAATTTAAAATAAATAATTCACAATAATATGACATCTGCGGGTCCCAATAATACTGGCACATAGCCTCAACATGATTTTTAATATGCTTTTCACCTCAATTTCTTTAACTCATAAACCCCCCCCCCCAATTTTAGTTAGTGGTGGATGTGTCTCAGGATTTTGAAACTACTCATCTCAGGTATATCATCCACCGGCTTCTGTTGTGTGCACTTGGCCGAAGGGCTGAGGATGATAGGGATCACTATGGAAATAAGAGACTGGATCTTGCTGGTCCTTTGCTTGGTGGCCTGTTTCGAATGGTAGGTTTGTTCTTATATTAGCATTTGTTTTACACTGTTGTACACATCATTTCTGATCTTTGTTTCTTGGGTTCCGGCTGTCAATGCAGCTTTTTAGAAAGTTGACAAGGGATGTTAGAGCCTATGTTCAGAAGGTAAATGCACAGACCTTCTCTTTGTGGCGTCATTGGCTGAATATTTTGTTTGTGCCAACTCTTCTTATTGTTTATGTGTCCTTCAGTGTGTTGACAATGGAAAAGATGTAAACCTACAATTTGCAATCAAAGCTAAAACCATTACCAGTGGGCTGAAATACTCTCTTGCTACTGGAAACTGGGGGCAAGCTAATGCAGCGGGTACAAGAGCTGGTGTTTCACAGGTCAGCTAGCTATTTAATCAGTTGACGACAGGATTGATTAATCTTCTTCCTCGGATTAATAATACTGTTTGTCGATATGTTCCAGGTGTTGAATCGTCTGACTTATGCTTCTACTTTGTCTCACTTGCGAAGGTTGAACTCCCCTATAGGACGAGAAGGTGATTGATTTTTCTTCTATATCGCCATTTTGTTTATGATATATGTGATTCTACTTTTTGATAGTATTTTGATGTAGTTCGTTTCCCACATAATCAATCATCTGCCCTAATCTCAAACTAGTTGGGGTTGGCTAAATCACGTCCCTGTTAATCTTTCAGAGAACACCAAAGCAAATGTCAAACTAGTTGGTAGTTGGTTATTACTAGTTCTGTTTCCTTTTTTTTTCCTTTGTTATTTAGGTTTTGCTGTTTTTGTTTACCAGGGAAACTGGCCAAACCAAGGCAATTGCATAATTCACAATGGGGAATGATGTGTCCTGCAGAAACACCAGAAGGTCAAGTAAGTGACTGCTCTCCTGTGGAGCTTCTGCTATACCAGGATGTGGCTGGATCAGCCCCTCCCTTTCTCCCATCCCTCTAATAAAACCCATAGAATGCAAACAGGAATGAGATTCTTTGGAGACTGATTCATCACTTCATGTTCTACTTGTCATCTGATTAGGCATGTGGGCTGGTGAAGAATCTAGCCTTAATGGTTTATATAACAGTTGGTTCAGCGGCATATCCAATTCTGGAGTTTTTGGAAGAGTGGGGTACTGAGAACTTTGAGGTGAGTAAATCTCAGTGTGTCGGGATGTTTGTGGGTCTGCTTAATTATTCTGTATTTTCTTTACTCTATTAAGTGTGATGATGATATGGTCTTCCTTGGCTCACCATTGCTTTTCTGTAAATCTAGGAAATTTCTCCTGCCGTTATTCCACAGGCTACAAAGATCTTTGTCAATGGTACCTGGGTGGGAATTCATCGCGATCCTGACATGTTGGTGAGAACACTCAGACGACTTAGGAGAAGGGTAAGAAACAAACTACACTAACTTTGAGTGGATGATATTACTTGTACCGTCTGAAGCATATATTGGAGGATGGTAAAAGCCATATAATTACATAGTAATCTGGAAAAACAGCTATGTGATGTCAGTTCTATATATCTTTGATTTGTTATATATTACAGCCATGCTCTTATCCAACCATTGTAAACATATGGATGTTGAGTTGGAAGTACAGTACTGCACCTTTATTCTGGCTTACAAACTGATATTGTCTAGTGGTTTCTACTAAGTTCTCTGGTCTCAACCTTTAGGCACCCTCTTAAACACTCTTGGCCTCCTATATATTATCACTTGAAACGGGAGCTTCTGCATTTACTTTGGTTATTTTGCATAAGTGCCTTTATTTCTGTTTTATGCAGGTTGATGTCAATACTGAGGTCGGGGTAGTTCGTGATATCCGTTTGAAAGAACTTCGAATTTATACCGACTATGGGAGGTGCAGTCGTCCATTATTTATTGTGGAAAAGCAAAGGCTGCTGATCAAGAAGANAGTTACTTACATATTCAGTATTCTTTTTTCAGGAATCACCTGAAGAGGGTGGCTGGCATGATCTGGTGGCTAAGGGATACATCGAGTACATTGACACTGAAGAAGAAGAAACAACGATGATTAGCATGACTATAAATGTGAGTGGTCAGCAGAGGTCTTGCTATTTTAACCCTTTCTGATTTATACTGAGATGCTGAAATGCTGATGTTAATGTTTCTAGGATCTTGTGCAAGCACGCCTTAATCCTGAGGAAGCTTATTCTGATACCTATACCCATTGTGAGATTCACCCGTCACTAATATTGGGTGTTTGTGCATCAATTATTCCGTTTCCTGATCATAATCAGGTGAGTTATGTTTTGGTTGTGATTTCTCTTGTCAAGTTGTTTCTGATCTACTAATCTTCTGTGTTTATTTGTTTTCTTATCAGTCTCCCCGTAATACTTATCAGTCAGCTATGGGTAAGCAAGCCATGGGGATTTATGTTACCAACTACCAATTTCGGATGGTAGGGAGCCTACTTATTTCTCTCCATAACATTTGAGAGGCTTTTGTTTTCAATCCGTCAAGGTGACAATTTTTTTCTTCTGGCAGGACACATTGGCCTATGTGCTTTATTATCCTCAGAAGCCTCTTGTCACAACACGGGCCATGGAACACTTGCATTTCAGGCAACTGCCTGCGGGCATCAATGCAATTGTTGCCATTTCCTGCTACTCTGGATACAATCAGGAGGATTCTGTCATTATGAATCAGTCATCGATTGATCGTGGATTTTTCCGATCGCTATTTTTCCGCTCATACAGGGATGAGGAAAAGAAGATGGGGACATTGGTCAAGGAGGACTTTGGACGTCCTGATAGAGCTTCTACTATGGGTATGCGGCATGGTTCTTATGATAAGTTGGATGATGATGGTCTTGCCCCTCCGGGAACTAGAGTTTCTGGTGAGGATGTAATCATTGGGAAGACAACTCCCATTTCTCAAGATGATGCACAAGGGCAAGCCTCTCGCTATACAAGGAAAGATCACAGTACCAGTCTCCGCCATAGTGAAACTGGAATGGTAGATCAGGTTCTATTAACAACAAATGCTGACGGGCTCAGATTTGTTAAAGTAAGGGTTAGATCAGTCCGCATTCCTCAAATTGGGGACAAGTTTAGCAGTAGGCATGGTCAGAAGGGAACAGTTGGCATGACGTATACACAAGAAGATATGCCATGGACTGTGGAAGGCATTACTCCTGATATCATTGTGAATCCTCATGCTATTCCTTCTCGAATGACTATCGGTCAGCTGATTGAGTGTATTATGGGAAAGGTTGCCGCACACATGGGAAAAGAAGGTGATGCCACTCCCTTTACAGATGTTACTGTGGATAACATCAGCAAAGCTTTGCATAAATGTGGATACCAGATGCGTGGTTTTGAGACCATGTACAATGGTCACACTGGGCGGCGGCTTAGTGCAATGATATTCCTTGGTCCCACGTACTACCAGAGACTGAAGCACATGGTTGATGACAAGATTCATTCTAGAGGCAGAGGCCCTGTGCAAATCCTCACAAGGCAGCCTGCGGAAGGTCGGTCACGTGATGGTGGTCTTCGTTTCGGGGAAATGGAGCGAGATTGTATGATTGCTCACGGTGCTGCTCATTTTCTCAAAGAGCGGTTATTTGACCAAAGTGATGCATATAGAGTTCATGTTTGTGAGCGGTGTGGGCTGATTGCTATTGCAAACCTCAAGAAGAATTCTTTCGAATGCAGAGGCTGCAAGAACAAGACTGATATTGTCCAGGTAAATATTTTCTTTCCGTGCCTGCTTTTGCACCCTATACAATCACATACATGTTTCTGGTGGATGTTCATTATAGTTTACACGTCACATGTAAAATAGTAGTAAGTCTTTTCTTTGGTCTTAAAACTCAAGATTGGCTCTGTTGGTGCAGGTCCACATTCCATATGCATGCAAGTTGCTTTTCCAGGAGCTAATGGCTATGGCTATAGCTCCAAGAATGCTTACAAAGGATGTCAAACAAGCCAAAGATCAAAAGAAAAAAGGAGCTTGATTAATTTGGCTATACGGAGAAAAAATTGCCTGCTAGAAAAGTCCCCCCTGTTTTATAGATTTAAAATCCTACTTTATGAGCAGTCAGTTTTGCATCCACAATATGAGGATCAACTTCTTATGTGTTTTAGAATGTTTGTAGATTAACATGTCATCGTATATCTAATGAGAACAAGAGACACTTATGGACCTCAGTACAGAGATTACAAAGTTATGGTTTGGGAGTAATTCTCGCATGTAAAGTAGAACACTTATGTCTGAGGTTTCTATTCGGAAAATTCTTTTCTTTTTGTTATTTTCTTATTTTTCCTGTAAGAGGTTCTTCATTAGACCTGTGTCATATTTGATGAGTTGAAGCTTTTAACAGTGACTTCATCTTACAAAGAAATGACTACAATTCTTTTGCTTTTGATCCTTTTAGCTTATTTTAGTTGAACAACATTTTTTTGGTCTTTCTGGAGAAATGTGATATGAGATCTGAGGGTCTTGCTCAACATAGTAGAGTATCTTGAAATTCCTCCTTGCAGTGCTGCGGAATATAGTTTGAAGCCTCAAGCCCATAAACAGAAGCTCAAAACACCATTCTCTCTCTCTCAATAGTTTGCCTTTATTAAATTGTATTTAGAAGAAATGAAAATTATCTATTAGAGCATTTAGGATAGGACGTAAGAATTTTGAACTCGCTACTGTTGAGACTTCATTCAATTTATCCTTTTTTGTGCTGACACGGTGACACCAATATAGTTATAGGACCTGACCCTAAAAAATATTGGGATACTAAGCTAGCGTTTCGCCATAAATTTTTAAAAAATCTGTTTGGACATAATTTTTTAAAACTTATTTCATTTTTTTTTTATTTTTGAAAAACATGAAATGTGACTTATACCCATAAGTTCTAAAAACTATCAAAAGTACATAATAATACCAAACAAACGAATTTGCTAATATTGATGTCATTCATTATCATTCTCACAATTATAGTCCTGAACATAGATAAGTTTGGCACAAAATTATTATTTTTATAATGAAATACATAATTCATTATCCTAAAATCATAACTTGATATTTTAATATCAACTGTTAATAACACAATTACTAGCCAGTTGCTACTATAATCCGTCAAATTGCAATAATATTACAAGATCTATCAGTCCAAAAGAAAATGGTAGTAATTAGGTAGTGGATTAGTTGGGTCATAATAGATGGTGGACTTTTTTTTATAAAATATAAAAAAATTGGGTAATTTTTGAAATTGTTAAAAAATTTAACAATAATATTCTGGGCCAAAAACAAGTCTAGAGTTAGTTTTGGGATTTGAAAATTTTGTTTTCAAAATCTGCCAAACATGGATAAAATCTATAAACAAACATGTTTTGCCAAAATTTTTTTGGGAGAAACTTGGCAAAATTTATGACCAAAACGGGGGCTAAATATCTAGTAAGTAGCATTTAACTAGGATCTAATTCAATAAAAGAAATTCATACTGATATTCTAATTTCTCCGATTACTTAAAAAAAAAACTGATTTGTAATGGCAAATTACAGTGTTATGATTTCAAATCTGGTAGCCCGATTATGTGAAGGGGAAAATCTCACTTTTTAGAACAGATATATAAATCAACCTCCTAGAGCTCCACTTTTTTTTTGTTTATGCCAAATTTATTATTCCTAGAAAAGATGTTACTATTTTTTTTTAAATAGTACATGACTTGTACAAAAATAAATGTGCGCCTAGTTGTAGAAGAAGTACATGAAGGAAGAACACAATTATTTAAATACTTTTTTTGGGTGAAAAAAAATACCTTGTGACAGTCTTTATTTCAAAACACTCGCAAAATGTCAAAAAAATCACAAATATTTTAAATAATTTATTTTTCAAAACGTTTTCCTAACAGCTTGTTTGGATGGTAAATGGTTGTTACCCATTTTATCGTATTATGATTGTATTGTATTGTATTGTTGAATCCATTGTTCCGGAATAATGAAAAGCCTCATTTTTTGAAACAACCGATTTGGTGTGGTGGGATTGTTTGCTATTTTTCTTTTCAATTATGCCCTAACGTATCATTTCATAATTCTATTTTGCCATTTACCTTTTATTTATTTATTTTAACTTTAAATCTCCCACCTATAATCTACTTTGTCTTCGTCCTTTTTAAACTTGTGTCGCTTCTAACTCTAACGTAAAATTATTAATTTTGTTAGAATTTTCATGATTTTAATTGGTTAATCTATTTATAAGATATATTTGTTGATAAATTAGTAGAAAATGGGTTTTTTAAAATTATTTTTATGCGTAAGTCTTGATAAATTTAATATTTAAATAATTAAAGATATTTTAGTAAACTTATCAAAATATTATTTAACAATAGCAAATACAAACTTTGTATTACATACAATACAATAAATTATAAAACAATGATTAACAACCACAAACAAGCTGTAAAAAAAAAAAAATTCCAAACCTGTTGTGCAGACGCCATTGAAAACCTATATATTCAGAGGTAAATTAGCGGCAAAATTCCTTAAACCCCACTTTGGTGTCTGATTCACTGAAGAGCAAACGAATGGAAGAAAACTTAAACAACATCGAAGAAGAAGATGAGGGCCCACCACCTGGTTTTGACTCTTTAGCTCTACCCTCACAACATACCACCAATGATGAGACTGATGAAGATGAGGGCCCACCACCTGGTTTTGACTCTTTAGCTCTACCCTCACAACATACCACCAATGATGAGACTGATGAAGATGAGGGCCCACCTCCTGGTTGGCCCTCAAATCCTCAGCAACAAAATCAGCAGCTTCTCCTGGTGAGTTTAATGATAAATTACTAAAAATGGGTATCTATTTAATTTTGATTTTTCCTTTGTTTTCTTGAGTTACCTGTATTTTGTTGATGAAAATCAGTTTCATGGCTGTCGATTTTAATTTTTTTCTTCTATGGTTGATGCATGTAGACAAGTTCACTTATCTCTCAGAGATGGGACATTAGTGAAAGATTGAATCTTGATACCATATATACTTGTCAATCATGCAAATGACATTGCAATTTCTAAAAGAGATATAGGTAAATTTTGGGGAGTTTTGCTTTTGATTTGTTTAAAGATTCTTGATATAGTTGAATTTGATCTTCACTGGCTTTCCATGAATTACTTGTATTGTGCTCAAGAATTCAGTTTAAAGGATGTCCCCATTATGCTTATGTATGAGAGAGGCATGTAGACAAGTACATTCATCTGTCAAAGATAAGAGCTAAAAGTTGAGGCTTGATACCATTAATAATGTAAAGAAAATGATGCATTTTCTAAATGTGGATCAACTATGCTGGAATACCAAACTAATTGGAGTCAGTTTATGTCATTTTAGAGGATTCATCAGTTTATGATACGTATAATTTTGAGGAAATTGGGGTTTTTGTTTTGTTTGAAGAGACTCCATATGATTGATCAGGCAGATCACTGTTACTCCTGCTGTGCACTTTCATGGTTGCAATTTCGCTTGTTCATGCATTATATGTATAAGTCCTTCCTTTTTTATTCTGTATTAATTCTTTCCTTTTGATTATTTGTTTCTGTCTTTGCCTTTTTATTTCTGTATTTCTTAATATTTCTCATGACCTATTTACCGTCCTATAGTCCTTATAAATTTCTACTTGATTATCATCCATTCACCCTCTCTGTTCTAAGACTGTCGTTGGGTTCTTCTAAGACGATCTTGGTTTCTAATACTTTGAGAGTTATCTTTCATAAGCTTAGCTTAATAACCAGGTAACCGGGACCTTGATACTGGGGATATTATGTTCACAAGCTATTCTCAGTTTATAGAACAAATCAAGAAGGATTAAATGATACCTGAAAATTTTGAAAAGAAAAATTACTTTGTCAACTCTTTTGAAAATAAAGGGACATGTCATTAACAACCAGGGGCGGCTCTAAGGCTTTGGGCAGTGAGGCCATTGCCTTAGGCCCCCAAATTTTGAAGGCCCCCAAATTTATTTTAAATTCTTATTATTATTGTTACTATTATATATTATGTAATTTATATAAATAATTAGAATAAAAAAAGTATTACAGTATATTTTTTGTTACTTGATTGAGGTTATTTTATACAATAAATTTATAAATTATGATAATTTTCTTCCCTCATTAATTAGTATATTTGACAAGAGTGGGTTGCTCTGGTGGTGAGCATTCTCCACTTCCAACCAAGAGGTTGTGAGTTCGAGTCACCCCAAGAGCAAGTTGGGGAGTTCTTGGAGGGAGGGGAGCCGAGGGTCTATCGGAAACAGCCTCTCTACTCCAGGGTAGGGGTAAGGTGTGTGTACAAACTACCCTCCCAAGACCCCACTAGTGGGATTATACTGGGATTAAGGGCCTCCGAATATGGTTTCGCCTTAGGCCCCGAGATCTGTTGAGCCGCCCCTGTTAACAACATAAAGCTCTAAAGTTAGGCGCCTCTGAAGGTACATAATTTGAATACATGTCAACTTTTTCTTCTTCAATTGTACAATGACTTCTTTACTCTACGATGGAACCTCTTGTTGTCATTTGTTGCGTGCATGGAAATTAAAGTTGAAGGGAATCATTCGCTAGAGTCACATTTGCAAATTATCTGCACAAATAGGTAGCCAAAATGACTAATCTTCAAGAAATTACACTTCAACAAGATCATAATCACGTATAGATTGCTTGTCGTCCTCTTGAACATCGAGATACTGTATGCTACTCTTCATTAGCACCTAGCTCTCGTCAACTATCCTGGAACTTCTGCTCTCGAGGGTTGGAGTTCTTAGAAATCTAAAAGCTAGATCAGTATAATGACTATCATTGAAACATTAAAGCTGGAGAAAAAAGGAGGAATTAGTTAATGCAGAACTATGTTTGCTTGGTGAATGCAAAAAATAGTTGATGCTTCAGAACAAAGGTAACTTGTGAACAGACTACTGATGTAGGGATGGGGAGCAAAGAACACGAATCAGAAGACGATGAAGATGGTCCACCACCTGGGTGGAACACTGTGATCCCACAGAAAGATTTACCATCTACACTGCCACCAGCAGCAGTTACTTGTGGTAAGTCGTTAACTTTACTGTCTGATTTATCTCCCCCCCCGTCTCTCCCTCTCTTTCCCCTCACACGCAAACAAAACGCCCCATCTTCTTTGCTTGCTTTTCCAGGTAACATTTTCCTATTGTATCGGATACACAGTGAAAGGGATGTTTTCTGAGCCTGAAAAAGTTTTTGAAATAGAGTAGCAAAAACAATAGAAATGCTTTTGAAATAAAATTTTCAGCTCCACTGGATTAATGTCTTTATTATATTCTTGGTAAACAAATCAGCAAAACATAGTAGTCAGCCTTCTTCTGATATTAAGTATATAATTACAAAAAATCTTCAGATATCTTCATAATATGGACTGGATGTAATCTTTGGAAGGCAAAGAACATGAACCGTGTTTCAACATAAAAATTGTTGGTGGCACCTTCTCTTAACTTTCATGTTTCTTTTTTGTTACATCTTTTTATGTGGGACCATTATTCGTCTCTAGTAATTTTTTTGATAACCGTGGTGTCCGGGCCAGCTTGCACGCACCTCGACTAATTCCACGGGATACCTAGCACCTCCCACCAGCAACAGGTACCATGTAACTGTGTCCACCAAGGCTTGGACAGATGAGGTTTGAACCTGAGATCCATGGTTCTCCACTCACTTCATTGACCACTAGGCTGCACCGTGGTGCTTGTTTCTAGTAATTTCATAAGTACTTGCTGCCATTTCATGTAGCTTCTTTGTGTGCTTGTTGGTTGTCGTGTTTGTTAGGATGTTACTTAAATATATATCAATGCTGCTCCATCTCAAAAAATATATACCAGTGCTGCTTTCCTCGCTTATATGTCTCAGTGTGTATTAACATAGGACTACATTGGTGATTTCTTTTAGAAGTGGGTAACTAGTTGTCCACTAAGATTATGAGGAATTTGGGGATGAATGAGTTCTTCTAGATTTATGTTGTTCATAAGATATTAGCCTTCTGATTTTCAGATGTGGAAATGGAGAAGAAAGAAGAAGTCGTTGAAGATGAAAATAATAGTCCACCACCAGGATGGGAGTTGATCCCTCCACTACAGCCACTACAAACATCTACACCACCATCAGGGACACAACAAGCTCTTCTTGCCGGTGAGTCCTCCTTTTTCTACTCAGATTCTAAGTGTCCATATTTACAAGTTCAATTGCTATGTGCTCTTTTTGGTAATATCTCTTAAAGGTTTGCAATTCACTAGCTTATTCTTCCAAAGAATTTATTTAATCAATTGAAAGTAATAATATAAGGCTTATGATCAGCATTAGTATCTTCTGCATGGATGCTCTCATGTGAATGAGCTTAGATGTTGGCTTCATCTAGTTGTCCACTAAGTTTATGAGGAATTTGGGGATGAATGAGTCTTCTTGATTAATTTGGTTCATAAGAATTAGCCTTCTGACTTTCAGACATAGAAATGGAGCAGAAAGAAGTCAATGAAGATGATGGTCCACCACCAGGATGGGAGTTGGCCCCTCAACTACAGCCACTACAAACATCTACACCGCCATCAGGGATGCAACAAGCTCTACTTGCCGGTGAGTCCTCTCTTTTCTACTCAGATTCTAAGTGTCCAAGTTTACGTTTTTCAGTTGCGAACTTGCTATGGTTGCTTTTTGGTAATGTCTCTTAAAGGTATGCAAGTCACTAGCTTATTCTTTGGCGAACGATGAATTTAATCAATTGAAAGTATTAATATGCAAGGCTTATGATCAGCATTAGTATCTTCTGCATTATGGATGCTCTACGTAAATGAGCTTAGATGTTGGCTTCATCTAGTTGTCCACTAAGATTATGAGGAATTTGGGGATAAAGAGTCTTCTTGATTTATTTGGTTCGTAAGAATTAGCCTTCTTACTTTCAGATACAGAAATGGAGCAGAAAGAAGAAGTCGATGAAGATAATGGTCCACCACCAGGATGGGAGTTGACCCCTCAATCACAGCCACTACAAACATCTACACCACCATCAGGGACACAACAAGCTCTTCTCGCCGGTGAGTCCTCCCTTTTCTACTCAGATTCTAAGTATCCATGTTTACATTTTCAATTGCTATGTGCTCTTTTTGGTAGTTTCTCGTAAAGGCTTGCAATTTCACTAGCTTATTCTTGTCAAACAATTAGTTTAATCAATTGAAAGTATTAATATGCAAGGCTTATGATCAGCATGGTATCTTCTGCATTATGGATGCTCTCACGTAAATGAGCTTAGATGTTGGCTTCATTTAGTTGTCCACTAAGATTATGAAGAATTTGGGATAAATGAGTCTTGTAGATTTAATTGGTTCATAAGAATTAACCTTCTGACTTTCATATATAGAAATGGAGAAGAAAGAAGAAGTTGTTAAAGATGAAGATAATGGTCCACCACCAGGATTGCAGTTGATTTCTCAATCACAGCCACTACAAACATCTACACCACCATCAGGGACACAACAAACTCTTCTTGCCGGTGAGTCCTCCTTTTCCTACTCAGATTCTTAAGTGTCCATAGTTACAAGTTCAAGTATTATGTGCTAAAATATCGTACGTCCAATTGCATGCCATATGTGTACATGCAATCC